TAGATACCATAAGTCAATTTCTAATTGGATGAGGGGCTAAATTAAAATATTGAAAAGTAAGAAATAACCTTAAGGTTATTTATAAGGGTTATGTGTTGGAATAATATGTTTGCTGATGAGTTTAGTTGAAAGTTGTGGATCTATGTGATCAAACGAAAGGACAAAGTATTAGAAATCTTTAAGAGATTCAAGATACGTGTCGAAAACCAAGAGTGAACATATGATTCTGATAGGATATCATAAAACTGATGCATACAGACATAAAGCAAGAGTTAATTATTTTTCAGATGCTTATTGGTGTGGAGATAAGGAAGATCGAAGAAGCACAACTAGATATTTCTTTCAAGTATTTGATGCCCCAATCTCATGGTGTTCGAAGAAGCGCCCTGTGGTGGCATTGTCATCGTGTGAAGCTGAATATATAGCAGGATCCTATGCTGCATGTCAAGAAATTTGGATCAGATCTGTACTTGAAGAAATGACTGTCGAAGTGAAGAAACCTCTAGTATTGCAAATCGATAACAAATAGGAGCATTGATACATAGTGCAGGACTAGGCACCTTTGTGAGAGACATACCACTTATCCACCTGAAACCTTAAGGTGATAGGTGAGTGGGTTCTCTCACTTATATATGCTTAAGTCTCCATATTCCTATCTAATGTGGGACTATTTCTCCACTTACTCACACTTGCTATATTATTCTAACACTCCTCCTCAAGTGTGAGTCCATGATGCTCCCCCACTTATACTGCCATTGACATCTTGGAACAGAACACCACTTCCTGGGAATATTTCGATACAAGTCTCTTCTGGTCCCTTTCTCGAACCAAAGGCTCATGATACTATGTTGGAGGGAGATACTAGGAGTATTGATACATAGTGTAGGAATAAGAACCTTTGTGAGAGACATACCACTTATCCACCTAAAAAATTCCAGAAATTTGTCACCAAGTTGGGCACCATCCAACACTTCGCCTCTGTCGAACACCCGCAGACAAACGAGCAAGCCGAATCTGCAAACAGGGTGATCTTACAAGGCCTCAAGCAGAGGTTAGGCGAAACCAAAAATAAATGGGTCTAGGAGCTGTATAGTATACTCTGGGTCTATCGAATGACAACTCACTCATTCATTGAGGAGAACCCTTTTCGTCTAGCTTAAGGGACCGAAGTTGTCATCCTGGTCGAGATCAGAGAGCCATCTAGACGAACAGAAGCCATCTTGTCATCCTCTTCTCCCCGTGAGACGGACACACCAAGCATCGCTCGAACTCCTTGCACGAAGTCATCTGAGAAACGTCCCCCTTTCTTTATGTAGGAATGTCTTAAGTCGTCACCACTTTGCTCGGAAGCAACGACTTGATGGGCTTCTGTTCTGGACTGGCCCAATGACCAGAATCGGTCTAATCCGCTTCTACCTTAGCATGATCCAAACAACTTTGGCCCACTAACTCTGATCCTCGGTCGAGCACACTTGATCGACCGCATCGTGGAAATATCATGGATTATGATGCCCTGATCGTACGCCTTCCCGTGTCAACGACCAATTCCAGGTCAGCTTGTTACTCATCGAGCAGATAGCTAGGAAGGCTCTCGAGACGTGTCTGTCCGTCATCTCACCCTTTCCCGAAGCAAAGGCTAGTTACGTGCACGATTGCCCATTTTGACCAAATCCTAGCAGTTATCTATTTCTGCGGACCCAAATATCTAGGCCCAAAAATAGGAACCAATGGTTATGCGCTAGGGGAATTATATAACCCTCACACTTGTGAGGGCCAAAGATCGAACATTCGTGCTAAAAACTATAATATCTTTCTTGTATCTCTTTGCACTCATTCTTACTTGATCGTCAGAGTGCCTTGCAGGTACACCCATTCTCTCCTCATATTTCCATCCAAACATACGTCATCATCAAGGCCCTTTCAGGTTCTGATCAACCGGTAGGATCAATTACATAGCCTTTCTCCAAGAACATGAGGAAAATAATGGTATGATGGAAGATGATCCAATCAAATTTCGTCAAGCCATTCAGGAATCAAACTCAGGAAAGACGATTGAAACAATAGAGGATGATTATAAGTCCATGCAAGATAATAAAGTTTGGGAACTTGTCCATTACCAGAAGGTGTGAAACCCATTGGTTGCAAATGGACTTTTAAGACCAAATGAGATTCTATTGGTAATGTGGAGAGGTATAAGGCTCGTCTTGTGGCTAAGGGCTATACCCAAAAGGAAGGGATTGACTTTAAAGAGAATTTCTCTCTGGTTTCATTGAAATACTCTTTTAGAACAATCATGGCTCTTGTTGCACATTATGATTTAGAACTCCATCAAATGGATGTCAAGGCGACACTCTTCAATGGCAACATTGATGGAATGATCTATATGGTGCAACCGGGAAACTTTGTGTTAGGAGCCTCAAAGAATATGGCTTGCAAATTGATAAATTCCATTTATGGACTAAAATAGGCGTCTCGTTAGTGGTACCACAAGTTTCATGAAGTAGTTATCTCATTTGGTTTTGAGGTCAATCTTGTTGAAGATTGTGTGTATCACAAATTCAGTGGGAGCAAGAACATTTTCCTGGTACTATATGTTGATGACATATAGGTTGCCGCCTATATCTGTTGATGACATATAACTTGCCGCCAATGATATAGGCATGATGCATGAAATCAAGAAATTTCTATCAAGAACATTCGAAATGAAAGATCTTGGTGACACCTCATTTGTATTAAGAATTCAAATACATCGAGATCGATCTCGAGGTATTCTAGGATTATCACAAAGGAGCTATATAAAAGGTGCTTAAAAGGTTTGGCATGCAGGAATGTAAACCAGGGGATACTCTAATAGCTAAGGGAGACAAATTTAGTCTTAATTGGTGCTCAAAGGGAAACTTAGAAATTCAAAAAATATAAATGATTCCTTATGCGTCAGTTGTAGGGAGACTGATGTATGCCCAAGTATGTACGCGTCCGAATATTGCGTTCATAATTGGGATGTTAGGAAGATATTTGAGCAATCCATGAATGAATCATTGGAAATCAACCAAAAAGGTTATGAGGTATTTAAAGAGAACAATGAACTATATGCTCACATATGAAAGGTCATACCAGTTAGAGATCATTGCATACTCTGACTCAATTTTTTTTGGATGCCAAGACAGTAAAAGATCCACTTTAGGCTATATCTACATGTTGGCTGGTAGTGCAGTTTCTTGGCGCAGTGCCAAGCAAAGTCTTACGGCTTCATCCACCATGATAACTGAGTCTATAGCATGTTATGGGACATTCAACCATGGGATTTGGTTGAGAAATCTTGTCACTGGGCTGCGATTTGTAGAAGGAATTGAAAGACTACTTAAGTTATATTGTGCCAATAAATCAATCATCTTGTATTCCAACAGTAATAGGAGTTCGACCAAGTCAAACATATTGACATCAAATTTCTAGTTGTTAAGGAAAGGGTACAAAGTGAGCAAATTTCCATAGAACACTTGGAGACTAACTCCATGATAGCAGATCCTCTTACAAAAGGTCTTCTACCCAAGGTCTTTCATGAGCACACTGCTCGTATGTGTGTTTTATGGTTAGAGGAGTCTTTGGTTTAGTGGGAGTTAGTCAATTATGAATTTTATGTTCTATGTTTTGGTTTTATGTATGCAAATTATGATTTTGAATATTTTTCAAATTATTTAAGTATTGATATTCAACGGTTTACATTTTGTAAAATACAATCTTGTTCTTGATTTCTATAGAAATTATAAGATTTATGAACAAATTTAATATTTACAAGTAGCAAAATATTTATTAATCCAAATATAATTTATATCTTTTAGACGTATTAGAGATAAAGCATTTAGATAGTCACTTTAAAAATAGTGTAATTCATTAGTTTTATATTGTCGTCCAATAAAATATTAATAAATTATTAAAATACTTTTTAATTTTAAGTGTAATTAATGGAGTACACGGTGTTGATTGGTTGTAAGTGTAAATGCATATCTCTTTTTTTCATTAAAAATTTGTTTCCAATGTCAAAATTTTGCAATTAGTTATAATTCATCTCTATTTACGTCTCTCTTAAAAATAGGGAATTATCCTATCTAAATGTTTTAATAGTGTAACCTGAATTAAATTAACTTTTTGTTCAATTGAATTGCATGGTAACATTTCTCTTTTAGTTTATTCAATTTTCGTTTGGCTTTTTCAATAATAACAATAATAGTACTTAGTAAACTTCAACCCACTCAAATCGATTCTCCTTTCTACATTGTATTAATTTTTCAAAAGTAACTTTTTGCCAGCTTTTGCAATAAAAGACAACCATTTTTTGCGTAAATTGATCGTCACCACTTAATTTAACAATATCATTTATTAAGACGCAATAAAAGGCCTTGCCACCATGTTAGTTGCATTCTTACGCTATATAACTTTTTCAGGAAGAAAAGGCCCACTAACATGCTCTAAAGAGATAGGCTCTTAATATTTTATATTTTGCTTTAAACGTGTAATTAATATAGGACAAGAAAATCAATGAGAATTCATACATATCATTTAACATTTTGTTTTATTAGTCTGATTTAAATTCATGTTCAATATACCCACCCGTGAATAAGCCATATATACTAAAAAAGTATTGATGATTATGTCTGTTAATATTGTTTAGTCAGATCAGTTTTCGGAACACTCCACTTGTTCAATTTTAAAATGTGAATTTAAGCTACTAAATTATTTGATAAAAAAATACTGACTATTCTTCCTCAACCATTTTGTAAAGCAAGCAAACATTATGATATGATCATATGTTTGAGGCTAAGATCAAGCCCCTAAAACCTTAGAGAGAATAATATATGTCATAATAATTTACACAAATTAATAAGTAACACAAGCATGATAACACAAATATTTATAGAAAAAGAAGAGGGATGACACAAATTCATTTACACAACTTGAGATAAAGGAGTTGAAATAAGATAGATACAATAGTAAAATGATATTTAAAGCATAGTTCCTCTACTGCGAATGGCACAACTTCTACTCCGTGAATAAAGAAGAGGTTTAGCCTTGATAGTATCATCAGATTCAAACTCATATACTTTATCTTCATCAATCTTTCCGATTCCAACGCTTCGACTCCGAGAAACCGACTCAACTCGATTTTCATTACTGATAGTCCGCGACACAACCCTCACAAGCTCCTTGAAATCGTCCTCGCTTGTAGTAGAGTTAACACTGAAGCTCCTTGGAAGAGAGTAAAACTGCGTGGGACATCCCATGGCTGTGTGATCTACATAAGCGAAGTCACGAGAACATTGGATCATGCCATTGACGTACATGTTCCTTATCTTTATCATCAACCTTAAGGGTGCCTTCATGAACCTAGAGAGTTTCCTTCCTTTGCTGTTATCTTTGTTTGTCATGTTTCAAGATTACATGGAATGATGGCAATTAGAAGGCATTTTATATAGATAAGAAAACAGACACCTAAGTTATTATCGGCTTATGAATCTCTTCTTGTTTTGGACCGTTATCTTTGGGCTTTTATTGGGTTCTTATCTTTCTTATTTAGTTTGTAGTTTTAGTATTCTTGTACGGTTGTTTTCTTTTTTATGGTTTGAATTTTTTTTATATTCAATTTTTAATATTAAAAACAATATATTGGGTTTTGCCTTCTATCTTAAACGTATCTTTTTGGGTGCAAACAAATATATTCCACTTTTTGTCTTTTTATTCAAATTAAATTCTACTTTTAAATATATCATAAGTTTAAGTATTTGCAAAAATTGCACTATTGAGCGATGTTCCAATAGAGTGAAGCACGAGGATAAACGTAAGATGGCTTAATTTTGTGAAATTAAATAATGATTCATCCAATTCTAGAGGTCGGAATGTTCATAGCAAATATTGTGGGTCAAATTAAGAGAATGAAACATTCATTCTTCAACTTTCTAACGAGTTCGCTAGAGTAGGGGAGGAGCAGTTTCCTCCTAAAATTGAGGAGCAGTTTACTCAAGAGCATTGACTAAAATTGTTCCTCTGGACACCTCACTGGCCACGCATTGAGGTAGTTGATTTATGATGGATAAGAGTATAAGTTAGGTGATCCAAACTCATGTTAGGTGACATGTAGGCTGGCCTATCGCACACCTGTTTCATCATCTAGACATTTCATAACACTTTTGGGCATATTGAGTTATGAATCCCTCCTTTTTAAGGCCCAGTCAAATTTTTCTTAATCAACAGTCTCTCAAGCATGGGGTATGAAAGGTCGAAGTGATTAAACAATGTAGTTAGTGATATCTTCTAGAGCGAGCGTTGTAAACGTGGATCTATAGTGTAAGGCTTGTAAAGGTGAGTCCTTTAGGCGAGATTTATAACGTGAGTCCATCCAATCCAACTCTTAGGCCATTTGTTTTGTACTACTAATTCCATTTCCACGATAGGGGGTTTGGTAACAATGCCATTCGGGATTATTTTATAATAATATGTCGGTCTTTGGTAGTATGTTTATTGATTTTCTGTTGTCATTGTTCTTTGGACTAGTGAAGACACCTCGTGAGACTTAGCCCCAAGGGGTGATGATAATTTCTAATCTTAGCTCGAATAAGACAGCCTCTTAGGGTGGTCTTGACTCTTCATCAAGAAACTAGTAGAAGACTCGTGCGTCTGTACGGGTTCTATCATTTATAACTTTAAATAAAATTTATAATTATAATGATAAAATATATAATTAATAAAATGTGAAATAGTAGCAACTTATGACCAAAATCTTATTCCATGGCAATATTAATGTCAACAACCACACGAAAGAATGAGTTTTGTTATTTATCCTAACAAAAAGAGATATCTTTTGGTATTTAATAGAAAATAATGCCCCAAAAAGAAAAATAAGATATTTCATATATTAATCATTTGATAAGGCTTGATCATTTTTTGATATATAATTGTTATTATAAAATCACTAATAACTGTAAATATTTAAAAATAAATATATAACAAATCACCAACATAATAAATCCATAATGATTAATAATTCTAAATATTTACGAATATCACTAATAACATTAATATTTATAAATACTTTATTGATTAAAAAAATATATTATAGTGATAGTGACTCTGTGAAAATAGTGAATTTTAATGAAAAATTTGTTGGAGATGGTAAAATTTACAAATATCATTTTCATTGTGCACTTAGAATACAATAATAAATTGATAGCCTTTGTGATAAAATTCATAGGAATTTCATTATAAAATACAAAATGAAAAACTATAATATAACGAATATTAAAAAATGTTTAATAAATTAAAATATATAAGAGAGTTTATTGAAATAGATATATAAGCGAAATAAATGTCTAAAGACGAAATATATTTTTACAATTATATGATTCAAATATTATTTATACAATAATAAAAAATAAAAATAAAAACATTTTCGACATCCATGAGATGTATCATCAAACCTATAAAAAATATTTGGTCATCCAAAAAAATGTTGAGCAAAATGTTTAACTATTGCTACTAAATGTTGGTGCACAAAGAAGAGATGAAAGGCAAAAGGAATATATTAAATGACGGCTACAAAAATAAGGAATAATGATTTACAATGAATTACATTGAGCTACCTCACTAGGCTATTTACACACAAAATAAAATCCTAAATATCCTCTAACAAAGACATAAAAAGATATAATAATATCCTCTAAAAAGATATTCCTAAAATATAGATTAATATCCAAAAGATATTCCTAAAATATAGATTAAATCTAACACCATCCCTTAATTTATATTTTTTTCTAAACTGACAACACCAATTCCATCCCTCAAGGGAAGAAATTGATCAGTCTTGATAGCCTTTGTTAGAACATCTGCCAGCTGCTTCTGGGTGCTACAGTGTACAACTTCTAATATTCTTCTCTGAACTTGATTCCTCAAAAAATGATAGTTTGTCTCAATATGCTTGCTTCTCCTATGCAACACTGGGTTCTTGGAAAGATTAATTACAGACTTGTTATCAATCATCAGCTTCAGAGGTTTGGCTACTTCAATCTTCAGATCTTGCAACAAGTTCAGAATCCACACAGCTTAACATGCAGTCAGAACCCCTGCAATATATTCAGTTTCACAGATTGACAGCGCAACAATATGTTGCTTCTTGGAACACCAAGAAATAAGACCTCCCTGAAATTTGAATAAGTACCCAGAAGTACTTCTTCTGTCCCTTCTATCTCCGCACCAATCAAAGTCTGAATAACTCAAAAGTTCTGATTCAATCTTTCTTCCAGACGGAAATAACACTCCATACTTCAGAGTTCCCTTTACATACCTCAAAATCCTGACAGCAGCTTGGTAATGAGACCACTTTGGTTTACTCATAAATCTGCTAACTATTCCAACTACATAACAAATATCAGGTTTGGTATTACATAAATATCTCATAGAACCAACCATATATTTGAAGGTTGTAGCATCCACATCCTCTCCATCAGAATCAGAGTCCAACTTCTGATTCATATCAGCAGGTATGATAGCAACTTTGCAATTCTCTAGCTCAAATCTTTTCAGAAGCTCAAATTCATACTTCATCTAATGCAAAATGATTCATTTCTTAGAGTACATGAATTCCACCCCTAGAAAGAAACTCATTTTCCCAATATCTTTCATTTCAAACGCATTCATCATAACTTTCTTGAACCCAGCTATCTCTTATTCAGAACTTCCTGTAAGTAATATGTCATCAACATACAAACAAACCAGAATCATATTACCTTCTGAAGTGTGTTGAACATAAACACCATACTCCATCTCACACTTCTGAAATCCTTATTCCTTGAAAAACGAATCAATCTTCAAATTCCAAGCTATGGGCGCTTGCTTCAATCCATACAAGGCTTTGTGTAATTTGAACACCATCCCTTCCTAATTCTTTTTCTCAAATCCAGGAGGTTGTGATACATATACCTCTTCTTGTAATGAGTCATTCAGAAATGAAGATTTTACATCTAAGTGCATCAGACGCCAATTCATGTTAGCAGCTATTGCAATCACTAGTCTGATTGTTTCATGTCTCACTACAGGAGCAAACACTTCAAAGTAATCCAGCCCAGGCTTTTATAAAAATCCTCTTTCTATTAATCTTGCTTTGTGTTTTCCAAATGATCCATCTGGAATTAGCTTCTGCTTGAAAACCCATCTAACGCTGATGGCTTTCTTGCCTTTTGGAAGTTCTGTTAGCTTCCAAGTCTTGTTTCTCTCTATAGCATCAAGTTATTATTTCATGGCCTGTAACCAACCTTGCTGCTTAAGATCCTCTTCCGTACTCACGAGTTCAGAGTCTACTAACATTACACACTGAATAACTTCTCCTTCAGAGTCTACTTCAGTATCTTACAAAATGTCAAACTCTGAAATCTTCTTGGGATGCTTCTGACTCTTTGTTGCCTCTGAACTGCATCTTCAGAACTTTGGACACCAGAACTTCCCCTTAAGAAGCACTTGCTTCAGAAATTAGACTTTCTCCAGAACCTTGATTCTCTTCAGAGTCTGGATCACCATCAGAGTCAGAGTCAGAATCATCTTCTCAGTCTGTATCTTTTTCAGAGTCAAAGTCTTTACCAGCTTCAGGAACATGTGTTTCTGACTTTTCTTCAGGAGTTTTCTCATCAGAGTCAGGACAAGACCTTTCCCAATTCCAAACTTCTGATTCCTTTACAATTACGTCTCTTCTGAACTCAACTTTGTTATTTTATTGACAATAAAGTTTGTAAGAGCCTGTATTGTGGTACTCCACCAGCAACATCACTTTACTTCTATCATCCAACTTCTGTCTTCTGGCTTCTGGGACATGTTTGTAACATACATAACCAAACACCTTCAGATGACTAACAATTTGCTTATCTCCATTCAACTTCTGAATAGGAACTATTTCCTTCAATTTCTTTGTTGGACATCTGTTGAGCACATAACATGCAGTTGCAACAGCTTCTCCCCAGAGTATGAGGAAGCTTCTTCTCTTTCAGCATGCTTCTCACCATATTAAGCAAAGTACAGTTTCTTCTTTCAGTAAGACCATTGTGTTGAGGAGTATAGGGAGCAGTAAACTCATGCTCAATTCCATTCTCCTCACAGAATCTTCTGAATTCTGTGGAGTTATACTCACCACCACCATCAGTTCTCAGAATCTTCAGAGTCTGGCCACTCTAATTCTTAACCTTCAGTCTGAACTTCTTGAATTCAGCAAACACCTCGTGTTTAAACTTTATGAGAGATACCCATGTCATTTTGGTGAACTCATCAACAAATGACACATAATATTTATTCCCTCTAGTTGATGCTACTAGAAAAGGACCGCACACATCAGAATGCGCTACTCCCAAGGCATGTTATTATCTTGGAGCTACTTCTGATGTAAATGGTA